TTCTTCAGCAGTGGAGTCTTGCATGGTGAGCGTGCATACAGGCCATGGTGGTTCAGTGCATTACTTAACTTACTATTCTGAAGCTCTCCACAAGTGGTCCTTGGCTCTTGGACAACTCTTCTGATAATTCTTTTCACTCCTCTGTCAGAAATCTTTTCCCTGTGCCATTCCACATCATTACAAATAACTTCATTTCTGGACATTTATGGTTTGATTTCTTTGTATGTATGGATCACTTGGGTTGTTACCAACATCTGGTGAAAATTTCATGTCATTAGCCCCTCTAGTAATATATTTACTGAGAAAAATGGTGACGTGTTCAATACTTATTTTACCCGCTGTATGTGCAACTTGAAGAACAATACAGAACAGCAGCATTAATTCTGAAATGAGGACTTACTCTTAGGAAATTTTAACTCAAACATGATTTTTGTGTGCTGCAGTAATATTTGACTGATACATACTCAATTCAAACATTCAACCAGGACTAATCCACATTATTTTCAACAGACAAGCTGGAAAAACAGCAAGACAACAGCATTAACATGGTCAGAACAGAAGAGAGTGGCCTTGCAGAAGCAGAGCAGAAGAACAAGACTCATAATCACACACAAGACAAGAAACCTTACTGCACTCAAAAAACAATAGGTCTAAAACTCAATTTTAAAGATTCAAATTAGAAGTTTGCACTAAAAACAACTATTTTATTAGAAAATATTTTCTGGAAAAAATGACAAATATGTTATATAAGAAGGCAGCTCTGATGCTAAAGCAAGGCACTCCAGGTGGAGAGGGCACATTTAAAGACCTGGGATAATGATTACTTACATTGATCTCAGTGATGGCAATGTCAACCACGCTACCCACAACAATTAAGGCATCAAACGTGTTCCATGCATCAGCAAAATAGTTCTGCAAGCACAGGCGACAGAAACACAGAAAAAAAGGAAGAGAGAGACAAAAACAAAACAAAAAAAAAGCAAGAAGAGGCGACAGAGAAAAGAGGCGTGAAAGACAGAGAGAAGCACATCAAAAAGTTCATAAAACAGTGAGGACGAAAGGCAGGCTTTCTGCCAGAGATCTGGAAACTATAACTACTGGTCAGGATAGATTTAAAGCGAACAGTCTTACGATAACTGATGGAATAATCTGTTACAATGACGGTTTTTATGTCCGTTAGCGGATTGGTTTTGTTTGTTGCTTTTAAAATCTACAACCAATCAGACTCATCGGCTTTCAGCTGCTCATTACGAGCCTATAAATAATTTTTGGCTGATATGACAATGTTTTTGCTTTTCACAGTGACTTTAAGCTACATGCAGCAAAGCTACTGTATGCCTGGTAAATACAAAACGAACAACATTAAACCAAATTTATACAATTTTCTGCCTCCGGAAATCTGCTAATTTATGTTTAGTTATCTACTGGCCAACACAAATACAGACAGGAAGGAAAGCAAACGAAGGAGAGATGTGAAGGAAGGAACAAAGGAGGTAGCACCGGTGGGAGAGCAGGGATTGACAGAGTTGTAGAATCTGACGTCGGTCTACCTGGCTGAGTATGATGTCGACTACACTGCCAAATACCACCAGAGCATCGAAGACGTTCCAGGCGTCCCCGACATAACCCTGAATATGACGACATACACAGCCAGCGGGAGGGGAGGGCACAAATGAGGGGGTTGTGAAGGAAAAACAAAAGGTGGAGATAGGAGGGACGGGCAAAACACGGGTTGAACACAAACTTTTAGGGAGGATTAATATCTAGTGATGTAAATTGGAGGCGAAGATAAGATGAGACTCACTCTGGGTTTGAAGGCAATCAGCTTAAGGATCATTTCTACTGTAAAAACTCCAGTAAAGACCATGTTGAGGATGTCCATGGCGTAGTTAAACAGATGAGACTGACCGTGGTGCTGGATGGAAACAGGCAGATCAGCCGTTTGACATCAGCAACAAACATATCCAAAGCAATATTCACAAAAATAATTAGAAAAGAAAAAGAAATTACCTGAATGGCCAGACACAAAGTGTTGAGGATGATCAGGACAAACATGACATACTCAAAGCCAGTGGAGTTCACCACGTACCAGAACTTGTACTGGTAGGGATTTTTGGGAATGTAGCGACGCAGAGGGCGGGCTTTCAGAGCGTACTCTACACACTGACGCTGCAGAGGAACAAAAAGCACAGCACAGTTTGTTACTTTTTACTGTTTTGAGAGGACCGTAAAGCACAAGCACACGGCAAATTCCAACAAGACCTTCTTACCTGGTTCTTGTCAAGCTCACAGTTCTTGTACTCCTTTTCGCCTTGCTCCTGAAAGGTAACAATGACGAAACCAACAAAGATGTTCATCATAAAGAAGGCGATGATGATGATATAGATGATGAAGAAGATGGAGATCTCGATGCGGTAGTTGTAGATGGGGCCCATGTTCTCCCTGTTAGAGTCGATGGCTTTGTACAACAAACTGTAGAGACACAAAATACCCCCGAAAATAGTCAAGAATGTGATTTATTAATGTCCACGAGCCTGTATAACTGTACAGTTTATCTTGTTCAATAATTATTACCAGATTAAATGCATCAACAAGCATTAGATGCATCTTATGCATTGACATAATACATTTGAAAAGCACACTTAACATTAATATTTCATTATTCTTAACTGTTAGAAATGATTGCAATCGATTTGAGAAAACTCAAAAAACAATCTTTACTTACGTGGGCCATCCTTCAAAGGTGGAGACGGTAAAAAGAGCCATCATGGCCATGAGAACATTGTCAAAGTTAAAGTCACTGTTGTGCCAAATCCTCTCCTTCACCATGGGCAGCGCTGTGTCCCCGTTGTTGTACAGAATGTATGTTCCCCTAAAATTCAAAATCATGTTTGTTAACCGTATGATAGAACCAAAAGGGACATTTCTGTTTTTTATTTGTTCAGTCTTTTATTCTGTGTTCAGTCTTTTATTGTGAAGTTCATCTACTGGTTTTATTATATGTTCAGTCTTTTATTCTGAAGTTCATCTACTAATTTTACTGTGTTCAGTCTTTTATTGTGAAGTTCATCTACTGGTTTTATTACGTCTTCAATCTTTTATTCTGAAGGTGGCTGGAGGGATGACGGGAGTTGGTGGTGAAACGAGGGGACAATGGTGACATTGTTCTGTACTGCATTATTTTGTAGAACAATAATATACTTCTCTGTATTGTAAAAGTGCACACACTAAAACAAAAAAAGACTGCTGCAGAATCTGGAAACCAAAAAAAATTTTTCAAGAACTCACTTGCATTCATCTGGGCTGGACTTTGCATCATCTGTGCATCGATAGAATTTACCCTAAAATAACAGATTGTAGATTCAGTTTAAACGGTGATGTGTTTTTACAGTGCAAGGAGCACATTAGATGAGACAAAAAAAGTCAGACTTTTATCAAATGTTTTTCTATAACCTCTGCTTTGTTTAACTCTTTGCTTTTGTACCTTGAAGAGCTGCACTCCGATACAAGCGAACATGAACTGCAGCAGCGTGGTGACGATCATGATGTTCCCGATGGTCCTGATGGCCACAAACACACACTGCACCACATGCTGCAAGGAATGTAGTGCGACAACCGTCAGTACAAGTACACAGGCTGCATCAGAAACAAAACCACACTCAAGCACAAAACATTACAAATTTATATTACAAGTTTTAAATTTCATTAAAGTCTTTTTTCTCACCTTGAGTCCCTTGGCTCTGTTGATGGCCCTGAGTGGACGGAGAACTCGCAAAACTCGAAGAATCTTCACAACTGAGATAGCAGAGGACCTGTGATGGAGAGGAAACATATCAATGGATCCAACTGACCAATTTCAAGCAGCAATTTATTTTCTTTAATAATTTTCTAACATTTCAATACTGCATGATAAATACGCTGTAAACCATTCCTCACCCCCCATAAGAATCAGCTGATTATCAGTATAATGATTTACATCTTTACTGACGAGACAGAAAAATACCTACTGAATGCCGAAGGAGACAAGAGACACACCAACAACCAGCAGGTCTAAAAGGTTGAAGTAGTTTCTACAGAATGCTCCTTTATGAAGAAACGCTCCAAAAGCTGTCATCTGAACAAACAAGAGATGACCGTTAGAAAAAAAGAGGTCATAATCACAAAAACATTACAAAGATTCATTTAAAACAAGCATTTTATTAACAAAGTGTGCATTTATGATATTTAATTACATTTAGACTTTCGTGTAAATCCATTATCATTCAGAATAATTTAGGGTTTCAGCTTTCATTTCAGTTTGCCGTCATCTTTATGCATTCCAGTAACCAACAGGTTAACTGAGCAGCATTTGAAGCAATATGTCAACTCTAATCAATACTTAGAATCAAGTGAAAAAGCCAGGGTTCACATTCAAAAGCGAATGTCTTTAAAATGAGTGCATTAAGGGATGCATACATGCACAGTGCTGCACACACATACATATATATATACAGTAAACAATGCAAAGATGTTAACACGTACAGTAACAAAGAGAGGAATTTGCTGCAGTCATAAACAAAACAGATTGAGCTTCAAATCGTACGACAAGCAGGACCCAAAATCCTCTGATGGACTTTTAATCTTAAGGCTTAAAAAAATGAGATTTATCTGGTGCAGACATGCAGTGAACAAGATAAAGGAAAAGGGCTGAATAGTGACTGATGAAAATAAAGTAGGTTAGGATTTTTGTGGATTTCAAGCAGAACAGAACTTTTGTGCACGCTGTATGTGATCAGGCAATGGGCTTTACACCAGAAATATACTTAGATTAAAATTCAAGAAACTGTTTAACTTAGTCTAAAAGTGTTGCACGCTTTTAATCGTTTAAAGTTTTAAATTCATGAGTAATCAAATGAGTAATCTGCTTCATTTACTGGTTGAGGATAAACGGGAAAAGTGGATCCGTATAGAAAAAGTGATTGATATTCGGTGTCTGAAAAGAATGGTGCTGAAACAAGAAGATGAGCATTCCTACGATTTTTCTCCATCATTGTACCTCCCTTCTTATCATCGTGTCTTTATTCTCCTCCGTAGAACTCTGTCACTTAATTTTTGGACCACAATGAAAATAAGTGATTCTCACTTTCTTGTGTTATCCAAGTACTAATAATGAATGTACTAGATGTGTATGTACATGCAATATTACTGCTAAATAAAATCCATCAAAAATGTACAAAAACAACGAGACGGGATGACGTGTGCAGCAAGCTCAGAGGTGGTGCGTTGTTGTCGACGCAACACAACACTTCTTGTTTACCTTAATAAGGATCTCAAATGTAAACATACTAGTGAAGACATAGTCTGCATAACTTAGGATCTGAGGAGGCAATCAGAGTGACATAAGCACGCAGGGTTACTGCAGCTCTACCCAACACAGCACAACACAGCACGCACAGAACATTTACCTTCAACAGGATCTCAACAGTAAAGATTGCCGTGAAGGCATAGTCAAAATAACCAAGTATCTGCAAAAAGCACAAGTTTAAGTCATTCCAGGATTACAGCACACCGAGTCATCTGTCAAATACTTCTGGAGCCTGATGTTTCAGCACACAAAAGCAGAGCTGCACTAGGTAGCATCTTGTCAAAACTGTTTTAAAGATTTTAAAGCATATTGGAAGTAAAATCAGTCATAAAATTGATTAAATATCTCCAGTTTTAGAAGCTTAGCTATCTGGAGAAATGAAATGTCAGAGCCGACGTGACTTTCCTGCTGTCCTCGGGTCAAAACGACCCACGAGGAGTGAGCAGGCCCATGACCTATTAATACAGGCCAATGTTCACTTTGTCAGGAAAATCTTCTGCCTGCAACTACCTTTTTTTGTTTGTTTTGTTTTTTTTTACACAGATACTGTATCTATGTGGTCATTGGCAGTGTGGGAGTTTTTCAATTGCACTTGTGTTTTTTTATTTTTTTTACAAACCACAAACCATTAAATACAGTCATTCTAAAATCACAGGCCTGACGGCTGCATTTTTGTTTGAAACCACCTGTAGTGATTAACTCCACTGTCCAATCATAGCATCACAAAAATGAACCAGTTTAAACTCAGAACATAACAGATAATCAGAGATATATTCTAAGTACATTTACTACCTTTTTTTAATTCTAACTTTTATTGTGTTACATTCAGAACCTAAAAAGAATACCTTTGCTTCTTTACTTTTACATTTAACACCTATGTTACTATTTTAAATATGACCAGAACTCATCATGAAAGGAGTAGTTAATGCACTCTAAAAATAATGAGTTGAATTTACTTGACCAAGTTATGTCAGCTGGTTCCACTAAACCCAGTTGAGTAAATGTAAATCAGTTTACATATTTTATTTTTTTAATGTGTAAATTGCACAATTTACTCATCTCAGTTTAGTGGAACCAGTTTGGGTCATTAAATTCAACACTATATTTTTTAGAGTGTTTGTAAAATAGTTTTACTTTTTCTTTTCCCGATTATTGTGAGCAGTTTTACGACTTTGGTGAAATTAATTTTAATCAAAATCATTTTCGTTTAAGGTACTTTTACCTCTGCAAGTAATGTTACACACTCATAGTAGCCTGATGTCACCATTTACTATTATTTCTTGGTGATATTTTCCAATAAAATTAAAAATATTTCAAATCAACATCTGCGTTTCCTTAGACATTGCCACAAACATTACGTAGTGCAACCTGCTTTGGTTTATAGTGCATCCAACATCATGAGAAGGTTTAAAAATACAACTACTTATCTATGTAGAGTGTAATAACATGGATTAATTTTCTAATTATTTTCTCTATTAGCTCGCAAAGCAGACATCTAATAATTAAATAATTGTTTTCTAGTGAAGGCTGTAACTATCAGGTATAAAGCAGTTATGCTGAAACTAGCCAGCAGATTTGTTTCCACTGCGATCTGTGAAAAGACCCTCTGTTGAAAAGATTTATAGTAAATTGCAGTTCTTGTTAAATGTGCAGTAATGTGTAGTGGTTGTTGTTTGTTTACGTACAATGTTGCGGGCAGAGAAGTTGCGTATGGGGTCCTCAGCAGCCAGAGAAACCGAGCTGAGCATGATGAAGACCAGGATGAGGTTGGTGAAAATCTGATGGTTGATGAGTTTATGGCAGAACACACGGAACCTGCAGCAGCAGACAGGAGAGCAAAAGAACCGAAACAGAAGGTAGAGGGTTAGACTGGTTTGATGACGCTGCTTTAAAAACAACAGGAGACTCACGGGTTGGTGCTGCTGAAGATGAAGAAGGCGCTGCCCTCTGGGATGGGTGGAGTCTTTTCTTTGAGGGTGAGTTCAGAGAGCCGCTGGGGCCGGGGCCCCAAGGGGACATCTGGGAGGTTGTCATTATCGTCTTCATCCTCGTCGTCATCACCTGTAAAACATTTGTTTCATAACAGTTCATTATTTATGTTCCAACGAGGCTTCTGGAAATTAAAAAAAAATGATTCAGTATTTTTTTTTCAACATTTCATTAGTTGAATGTTGCTTATTATGAAAAATATGTTTATTGTTTGCCTTGCTTCTCATGTGAAACCATGAATACAACCGCATTTTTATTATTTATGTTTATTTTTCTCAGAAAAGAGTATTTTACCTGGTAACTCATTGGCAGAATGTGACTCTTTGTCTCCTTGCAGCAAAGCCTCAGTTGGCACCTAAAGAAACATTTAACATTCAAAACGTCTCAAATTACTGAGCAAAAGTAAACACAATAACATACTTTTATCCAAGAATATTATCATTTGTTAGCATAATCTGAAATATTATGAGAACTCAAAAAGAAAAACTAAGTAGGTCCTCTGGACGGGTTCTTTTTTTTTTTTTTTTTTTTTTTTGTGGACGAGTGTTTTCACAACATCATAATGGGCAAACTGAAGCATACACCCACTGCTACAAACGCATCTACGCCCGGGTTCTTCTTTAATGAAACGTTTTTTCTCTCCTCCGAGAGACGACTTCAGTCTGAGGAGTTTCAGCTCCGCCTCCATACGGTGGACAAACAGGTTGGTCACATGCAAAAGAGGACCATCAGCCAAACAGTAGGTTGTTAGTGTCTTGATTAACTCTATTTTTCATAGAGGGTCATGTGACCCATCACCTGACTGTGGTTGGGGCTCTGATTCACACCTTTTGCTCACAGGGGGCGGAGTCATACTTGCAATAACAGCATTGTAGGAGGACGACAACTGGACACGAAGGCCTCCACCTCTGTTTAATGGTGGATGGCTTTTTTTTTCACAAAGATGGCTTCCTTTACTCCTCTCTCAAACCAACGTTCCTCTCTATCAAGGATGAGAACATCCTCATCCATGAAAAAGTGACTGCTGGCCTGTAAATGAGAGTAAATGCCAATCAAGGTACTAACGACCTATTGTTAGGTGATGGCCCTCTTTTGCATGTGACAAACCTGTTTTTCCACCATGTGGAGGCAGAGCTTATAAGGCTGAGTTCACCTGAAACTCCTCAGACTGAAGAAGTCACTTGGAGGAGAGATGAAACTTTTCATTAAAGAAGAACCATCCAGAGGACCTACTTATTTTATTCTTTTTGATTTTTCTACCTGGATTACTGAGAGACATCAGGATATTACGAGAACTGTTACCTTGGTCTCACCGTCGTTGGCTTCTGTCAATTCAACTTTCTTATCTGGATTTATGTCCCTATTGGAAACAAAAGAAACACAGTTCACAAAGAATAAAAATGTGATCACCTTTTTTGCTTCTTTTTTTTTTCGCAAGACAATACTGGTGAAAAACGTAACAATTAAGACAAAGAAAAACAACAAAAACATACAAATAAATTAAAATAATTTGGATTAAAGTGTCCTAATCTGTACTTGGCACTATTCCTCCTCTTCTTGGCCTCTTCTTCCTCCTTCTGTGCCGAGTTGAGAGACTCTGCATCTGCCAGGTTATCGACGGCGATGGCCAAGAAGACATTCAGCAAGATGTCTGATTTTGTGAGTCAAAGAGGAAAATTATAACAAACGTGATCCAAACACTTCTTGACCGTCTAGAAATGAGTTCAACTTAAAACGGGATTTTTTTTTCTCTCACAGGACAACACCCGTTTGCTTGATGTGTAAGTGTGTGTAAGTGTGTGTAGGATACAGTTTCCACAGATGAAGAGGATGATGAAGTAAATGCAGACCACCATTCCAGACGAGGCCGGACCTCCGTATGCCATGATGCCGTCATACATCACCGTGTTCCAGTCTTCTCCTGTCAGGATCTGATGAACACAACAGAGAGGTGGAAAGAAACAAAAATGATTTAATTTAACAGCATTCTTTGTTTCGTTTCATTCAAAGCACTTTTTAGAAACTGAAAATCAACAGAATCTTAAGGCGGCAGAGGTGGAACCCTCATTCAAACACAAACCTGAAACACCGTGAGCAGCGCCTGCGGGAAGTTATCAAATGTGCTCCGTTTGGTCACCGTCTCGTCAAAGTTAAATTTCCCCCCGAAGAGCTGCATCCCGAGAAGGGAGAAAATAATAATGAAGAGGAAGAGAAGCAGCAGCAGGGAGGCGATGGACTTCATGGAGTTGAGCAGAGAGGCCACCAGGTTACTGAGAGACGCCCAGTGACTGGAACAGACAAATAATCAATTTAACAAAGAAGCACAAATGAACTGGAATTAAAGAAAACTCAAATAATAATAATATCTAATATAAGGCATGAATAGTGAACATGATTTATCTTCTGGGTGAATAAATGTTTGCTTTGGATTAACCTTTAGTCACAAAGCCATCGCTCAGATTGGTCTTTTGTTTCATGCAAAATTTGTGGAAAATATAAATCTCTTCAGAGGACTTTTTTTTTATTCTCACGACTTCTGATTTTCTGTGGCCCATAACAAAAAGGGCACTCAGTTTGAACTGGGATGACAGTTGCAGTATCAGTCAACAAGCTTCTGGCACAATTACAGCTGAATATTTAGCCACTTATGGTAGAATGGATCGAGGTGAATAAAATTGACTTTAAATCATAGTCCACAAACTTTTTATCCGGGCTATGGTCAGAGATTTGGGAAAGCCATCCTGGAAAAGGTGTGTGGTCGATGTGCAACTTGATCAGGTATATTTAAACAAAGTATGATCGAGCTAAATAGCTTTTTCCTATCTTGCTATGTAAATCAGAGATGGGCAACTGGTGGCTCATGGGCCAGATCTGGCCAGCGGGTGACTACCATCTGGACCGCTGAGCCCCAACCTCCAAAAATCTGTTTACAGAGTTTCAAGTCAAACCTATGTAACCGGTCTACTTAGAGACGCCGTCTGCCATGAAGGATTTTACTATAAGTCACCACTACAACACATTGCACAAAGCTAAATATTACAAGTCTACTGAAGTCACAAGTACATAAACAACAGCGACATTTACCTAGAACCACACAGGAATCTGTATTTTATGCAGTTTCACTTCAGCTTACTAAAATAAGTGTTTATTTTATGTTTGCTTCAAACATTTTGTATTCATATTTATTAAGCGTAGAACTGTTATATGTGCATTTCAGCAAGAAATGTGTTAGGTTACAGGTGTTGGTTTAATAAATATTTACACAAAAACATTTTTAAAATGGCAGTTTTATTACGTTTGTGTAAACGTGCAGCGCTATGTGGCCCTCTAGTAGCGTCAACAGAAAATTGTGGTCCCTTCCATCACTTTAGTTTCCCATTCCATCTAAATAATGTGAATGTTGGTTAACTGGTATTTTCTAAATACGGAATAATTCTTGTGTTTTTTTGCCATTTGATTTATTTCAGGCTCTTCATCAGAACCTTTGACTTATTTTAGCTTGTGCTTTTTTGATTTTATACATGCAGAAACATTAATCATTGAGCACAAAAATAAAGGTTTTATGGTTTTTGGCTAAAGTCTATTAATAAAACTGCTCACCGTGTGACTTTGAATATCCTGAGGAGGCGTACGCAGCGTAAGACAGAGATTCCCAGAGGAGACATGATGGAAAACTCCACCAGGATGGTTTCTACGATGCCGCCGCAAACCACGAAACAGTCAAAGCGGTTAAACAGGGACACAAAGTACGCCTGCAGCCCCAAACTGTACATCTTCACGAGCATCTCCAAAGTGAACAAAGCCAGCAGGACTTTGTTGGCTACATCTGGAACAAAGAAAATATTTTTATATGATTATTGTGAGAAATCTCAGAATGGGATCATATTAATGACAACAAAAGGAAGGTATGGAAGCTAAACAGATACCCTGTACTTCAGTCAGCCAGTCTGGCTGGTTGTAGTGCTCGGAGGCGATGGTAAGAGTGTTGAGGAACACCAAGATGATGACAAGCCAATAAAAGGTCACTGATTTCACGGCTGCACGGCACTTCCTGCGGCAGAAGCGGTTCCATCGTCGCCACTGTCGGCTGTCACACAGTCACAAACATAGAGCTTTAACAAATTGTAAACATTTTTTTTAGTCTTTATGAATCTGAAATAACTAAAATTCATTACAATTAAGGAGTGATACAACAAACACAAATGGGTGAGAATGATTTGGAGTAGAGAGCAGGAATTTAGGTGCAAAAAGAGAAAAACACAACTTTGAGTCTCTTGGGTCGTCAGAGGGGAAAAACATATTGATAAAAAAAAAACGTGGATCAGGCTGATTCAAATACGAGGCAAAAAAATTAATCATGCAGGATGAGAGGAATCGTATAAATGAAGCACAAATCTTCCATGCAGTTTAACATTACTAACCTGAACTTTGACTTAGTTATTTTCTGACTGGTGGGAATAAAAAAAAGGCAGCTTTTATAAAAGTGGCAAAACATGTGCAGTTGTGAGACCTGCATTTGAGCGTGGAAGGTAGAACAACTGAATGTCTAATGGGTTTTCTATCACTTTGCTGAAAATGCTGCTTTATCTGAATGTTCACTGTAAAATGTCAGACTCACCACAGCGGCCCACAGCACGGTGATTTGTCGTCCTCTCCGTTGTGATTGTCTGTGTTCACTGACTCTGTCTCACTGGTGGGCATGCTCGCTGCAGGAACACACACACACACACACACACACACACACACACACACAC